TTACGTACATATATACACATATATACACATACACATACATATAGATATGAACATACAAATACACATACATATACATAGACATAGACATAGCCACATACATATACATACACATATTATGATTTACATATTATGATCTACATATTTTACAACATACATAATGTAATATGCAATATGCATATTATAAAACACATTTTGTAAATACATATTATAATATACATATTGCAATATACATATTTCAAGATACATATTACACTATACATATTATAATATACATATTGTAATGTACATATTGTAATGTACATATCAAAATATAAATGCTATAATATAAATATTATAATATACATATTTTGATATACATATTGAAAATACATGTTGTGATATACATACTACAATACACATATTGTAATATATATATATACATGCATAATAAAATAGACCTAAATTAATACATGTATTGTAATATACATATCATAGTATACATGTTATGATATACATATTATGTACTTGTACATATTCGTACATATATACATATACAATGTGAGGCCCCCAAGATAGCTAAGTTGGTTTATAACTCCAATAACTATGGTTTATGGTACTTATAACTATAGTTACTGGGGCTTACAAACCAACTTATAATAACTGGGGGGCCTCACATTGTATATGTATATATGTATATTCATATTTGTAGGACATTACCCACCCTTCAAGGCTTTGCCCAATCACACCTCTCCCAGGTCAAGACAACCTCGAGCAGGTGAGGGGTGTCACGAAGCTTGCTGCAGTTGCTGAACCCTCGGGTGGTTGATGATATGGGGGTTTCCTAAAATATGGCTACCCTCAAATCATCCATTTTAGTAGGATTTTCCATTTTAAATCATCCATTTTAGTAGGATTTTCCATTTTAAATCCTCCAGCTATGGGGGTACCCATATTTATGGGACCCCCCCATATTGGCTTATACTATCGAAATTTGATGATATCCTGTGTATATTGGGGACTATCACAATCCATAATGGTTGATGATTATAGGTTGTTATACTACCCAACATATTGGGGGATCCGGATTCAATCCGGAAATCCGTTCTCCACCACAAGGGGTCGACATCTCTCGGGTTGAACGGATATCCTTTGGGATTATTTGAGTTAAACTTTCACCATGGAGACATTTGGATTCTCACTATCCAGAGAGATCGAGTCGATTTTTTTTCCTTACTGGTGCTAAACGTAGGGAATGGATGGGTTGCTGGGGGAATGGGATTATTATTACTAGTGATTATGGATCATTCCCTCATTCCCTACTAAGCACCAGTAAGTTTCTAGATACCGTAAATATGAATCGCTTTTCTTGTTTACCTAGCCACTCATGGGGGGAACGAGCACGCTCTGGGCGCGGAAGTTTGCACAAACACATCCCCATGAGTGGCAGATATACTACTTAATTTGAACATCTCTATAAATACAAGAAATAAGTTTTTAGTGTAAATTAAAAGGCAGGTTTTTGAGGGCGGCTACCACATTTGGTCATTCATTCATTCATTCATTCATTCATTCATTCATTCATTCATTCATTCATTCATTCATTCATGTATTTTAACTTGTTTATTGCTCTTTTTAGTTTTATTTTATTTATTTATCTATTTTTCTCACATTTTACTTATTGCTTTACTGTATTTTTTTCAAATGTTTCTATCTTAAGAAGCAAATAGACAAACAAACACATCAAAACATGTTCCATCAAAACATATTTATCCATGAAAAAATAGTTTGCAGAATCAAAACATTTAGAGGTCAGGAAAGGTCCCAAAACAAACACATCAAAAAATGCATAAATACCATTTGGTTATTTAACAAAGCCATGGAAAATCACCATTTTGAATAGATAAACCATCTATAAATGGGCCATGGCTTCCATGGCTATGTTAGTCATAACCAGAGGGTAAAGCTATTTACATATACACATGTTTTCGCACGGGGATTCCTCATGACCAGCTTGGAACGCAATTTTTCATGGCAGCCATGGCAGGTATCACCTTTGGTGACAGCATTCTGGAGCCGGGGATGCCTAGCAGCTAGCTCATTGCTTTGGTAAAGTAAAATATACCCCGTGGGTGGTAAATTAGCATAGACCCTGCAAATGAAAAAATATTGGGGAAACTAGTCTTCCAACCCCTATCTGCCAGGGTCTATGTTAATTTACTGGAGGGTATCTGTTGGATTTTTTTTTATCAACTGAAGCGGATTTTTCTGTTAGGAATTTATGTCAATGATGTCGTTATGTTCCGATTCTGGAACTGGGGGATTGTATATGACTATTATCATGTAGCTATTGGTTGGTTTACCAATCGACGCCTGCACCTTGATGGTAACCATTTCTCGGAATTTTCGTGGGCCTTTGGGGGGCATCATATACCCTCTGATAAACATACCAAAAAATATGGAACATCACCATTTTTAGATGGGTAAATCAACTATGGCATTTCATGGGCCATTTGAAAAATAGCTATGTAACAAATGACCAGAGGGTTTGTAAATGGTAGCATTACAAAGCATGGTTACCCTAGCTGTCAATTTACCAGAGGGTAAAATATCATTAAATCACTTTCCAATGGCAATGTAACAAATTGCCAGAAGGTATCTTCCCATATCATCCCTTGATACCACCATTGTTAACCCATTGATATCATCATTGTTAACCCATGATTCACAATTACCCTCCGGTAAACTTACAAAAAACTATGGAAAATCACCATTTTCAATGGGTAAATCCACTATTTCGACTGGGCCATTTTCAAGTTCGCAAACTGTTGACATCACTATAAATCAATGGTCATTTTCAATAGCTATTTTGACAATTACCAGAGGCTATTCACCAGGTATCCTAGCCTTGTGGATCCAACGATCTTTTTGAATCGGCCACAAACAAGGTGGTGCCCCCAACCAGTTAGGGTTAATAAGTTGGTTGTTCGAAACCATGGTAAGTATGTCATATGTATGTCATATATATATCTACCAAAAACCTATGTCAATATGTGTATACCTTAAACCAGAGTGACATGGGATTTATAAACGCACGCACCAAAAAAAACCGCGATGAATCGCGGGGTCACCATTGGGCACCGTGCCGTGCCCACCGTGCCCACCGTGCCGTGCCCACCGATCCCAGATTGGAAAGTCAAGAAGTTCCAGGCCGCGGATCTGCAAATTCCATGACTGGACTTGGGGATGGGGGATAACGGGATAACCTGATGATTGGATGGTGAATTTGACGGGAATTTAAGAGGCCCCAATTGAGGCCCCGATTCAAAAGGACTAGAACTGCTTGGTGGTGACTGGAACCATGGAATTTGATTAGACTTTCCAGAAACACTTGGGAATGTCAGTTCGTCCCAAACTGATGAACTCACTCCATGATTTTTCAGAGGGGTTGAAACCACCAACCAAGGAAGTTTTGTTGCCTTCGTTGAATCAACAATATTCGAGTTCCTGAACATTGATAGTTGGGATTGGAGGACCCACATCAGGTTTAACCGGATGGATTAAGAACCCCCCTGAGATGTTTAATTGGGGTATTGAATGGCAAATCATCACTATGTAGGGGGAACTCATCCCAACTATTCTGGTTGTAGTAATTTGCCGTGTTCTGACCTGGACAACTGGTTTCCCCAATCTCTAGAGATTCTTCACTATAGAGAGACAGTGATTTTCTGATTTCTGGTGGTTTTGGGGTCCAGGAAGATCTCTCATTTCTATACGGTTCGTGTTCTGAAAAGTGCTTCCAGTAGTGAACTTGACCTTAAAAACCTACTGACATTGCAAATTTATCATACCGGATAGCTATGTGAAGCTATGTTGAACGTTTGTGTTCAGCAGGAAACTGCTGAACGTTTCGAGCTATGGGTTTGTTGACAATTTATCGCTTATCAATCTCAATCAATGGACAGTTTCAAAGCAATTTGATCCAGAACTGGGAGTGGCATCCCACTTAGTAATTAATAAGCCTTCTTACTAAGTTCCTCCCCATTCAGTTGGTGGTGACTGGAACCATGGAATTTTATGACTTTCCAGAAACAGTTGGGAATATTAGTTCGTCCCAACTGACTTTCACTCCATCATTTTTCAGAGGGGTAGGCTCAACCACCAACCAGATATCCCATTCAATGTCAACCCCGGATTAATAAACCATGGTTTATTAATTAGGGGGGGTACTCCTCCAATAGTCATAATATATCATAATATGATACTTAAATGGTACCCTCCCAATTAAACAATCGTTTGGGGTTTATTAATCCAGGGTTGACATTACTGTGCATGTCCAGATGGGTTGTAAGCCCATCTGGCCCATCTAAATGACCTAAATGGGATGATCCTCGTCCTCGCGCATTCGTCGCCGATGATGTAGGTAGTAGCGCCACAGTGGTCTCAACCTCAGCGATGAAAAACTCCCAAGAACTTGGTAATCCAGATGGATGCAACTACAGATGTACTAGCTATATACCAACTACAGATACCCTTTGTTTATTTAACATAGCCATGGAAGCCATGGCCCATTTATAGATGGTTTACCTGGGTTTACCTATTAAACATGGTGGATCTTTCCATGGCTATGTTAAATAACCAGATGGTAACTACAGTATATGTGATTATATGAATTTATTTGTTCATATGGATCATCTGGATGATAAAAACCTGCAGTTAGTTCTAAAACATGGCGGAAAATCACCATTTGAATACGTAAATGAAATGTAAATGGGCAATTTTCCATAGCTATCTTATTTTGAACCGGAGGATATCCAATGTTTCTTTTGGTCTACTCTGAAGCAACCATGCTTCAACGGACGTTTTGAATGACGATTTTCTTATAGGAAGTGGAGGATCAAAACACCAAAGTCCTCGTTGTTTCGATGTTTTTTTTTGCGCAGATCGTGCACTGTGGAACGTAACCCTTAAAACACTGTCACATTGCCTTGAAATCGCAGCGCTTTTTAGCACCGAAACCCCACATTTTTATATCTTCATTTGGCTGCCATGAGATGTGCCGAACTTGGGCTGATCTTTTGCAGCTTCGTCGTAGACGTCGTGTCACATCGGCTTGCTGAAGACACTCTGGAAGTGGTGGGCACATCCCTGATACAACGATCTCTGTTCCTGGGATGGCTATGCCATTTTTCACCAAGATCCAAGAATGGTGATGTGACAAGGGGATACAAGGCGATATACCCTCTAATTTAACATAGCGAACTGGAAAATCACCATTTTTCTCGGGAAAATCCACTATTTCAATGGCCATGTTCTATGTCGCTTTTTGTATGTAAAAACCAGGCCGGGTAACCAACAAATTCACCGAGAAAAATGGAAAAATGGGACATCATGGAGACCTCACCGGAACGATTAAAGGAAGCGAAGCAGGAGAAGTGGAAAACCCATAGGAGAAATGGAGGTTTTAATGGGAAAACCATAGGAAAACCATAGGAAAATGATGGAAAATGGAGGCTTACCCGGCCTGGTAAACATACAAAAAGCGAACTGGAAAGATCCACCATTTTTAATATTTTTAATGGGAAAACTCACTATTTCGACTGGGCCATTTTCAATAGCGAACTGTTAGTTGAGGGTATTTCCATTGTAACCTGGGTGATGATCAGAACAGAATTATGATTGATAAATTTTGGTGTAATTGTATACTGGTGGTTTGGAACCATGGGAATTTTATGACTTTCCAGAAACAGTTGGGAATGTCATAATCCCAACTGACGAACTCCATCATTTTTCAGAGGGGTACGTATACCACCAACCAGTATACAGTATACCTTTAAGATTGAAGCTACAAAAAAAAACAATTTTCAGATTGAACCACCAGCCAGTATTTCAATAGTAACTATAGGTATACCCATATGCTCCATGTATGGAATATTTACCTACATTTGGGCCATTTTTGGGGTAAATGTAGGTAAATATTCCATACATGGAGCATCTGGGATAGAATTGATTTTCACCTGGTTTGATTTCAATGAGTTCGATATGAATCTCCCGGGATCTCGATTGAGACCAGCCTATTTTGGATCACTAGTCGCCAGCCATTTTTTTGGAGAATGTGTGACGAAAACTATATAACTATCACCTTGAATCACTGGTACATTTGTTTTTTTTGTTTTTAACACTATCCAGTGGTGAACGGAGGGAGCGATTTGGAGCTATGGCTATTCATATTCCCTATGAAATAGGGAGCGATTTGGAGCTACCAAGAGTTTCCTAACCACATACTAGCACTTTCTTGACCTCGAGCTGCTAGTTGATTGAATCCTCGAAGACCGCTAGTTGGTGCCTGAACCCACCGACCGGGGAGTGGCGGGGACCAACTCGACCCACTCGACCCACTCGACTCATCGAAAATCTATCTATTTCCACCAGTTCTCTCGTATTCCACCCTTTTTTTGTCTCCATTTTTCCATCCATGTTCCACCGGTGATGTCCCATTCTATCCCCATGGATTCCATCATTTTTTCCTACAAAAAACTCGATGGATTCCCATGACACATGATCCACCATCATCCATCCATCCATCTCCGCAATTTTCTTGCTTAAATATATCCCTATCTTTTCCCACCTATCCATCTTCCATAAATCATCTTAAATCCTCAATTTTCAAATTCTTACTTCTACGTCTCCCCCTAATCGCTTCATATTAGTCACCCCCATTCGGTGGTCCGGAATACCTACATCTACATGGTTTCCGGTGGGGTGCTTAATATGAACGGGGGAGAACGAGGGATTAACTATCCCCATGTTCATTTGTCCCCACACATCCCACCAAAAATCAGATTCTAATTTCTACATTTCCCATTATCTCCATCAAAAAAACCCTCTTGTAGTCAAACACGTTTTGGAAATCCGCTTGAAATGGAGGTTTATAGCTGGGAAAATCATTGATCTAATTGAATCTAATTGAGCAGAAGGGGTTTGAAAACCAGGGTTCGCGGAAGCGCAGCGGAACCCGACAAGCGTTTCTCGCCACATTCCTTATTTCAACGATAGATATGTTCGCGGAAGCACTGCGGAAGTGAATTGTAATGCGGGACCGTCCGCGGAAGTGGAAACTGTGGTCGCGGAAGTAGCGCGGAAGTGTTCGCAGAAGACGTATGTTAGTATAAAGGCATACAAAGGAATAAAACTCAGGTTTTGGCCACAGCTCAGTTGGTGGATTTTGCAGCAAGACACGTGTGATGACACCAGAGGGTACCTATTCTTACTGCTTGAAATCTCCTTTCTCTCCCCATTCTAAGGTGAAATCCATTTCCATCCCATTTTTGATCCAGGTCCTCCCAAGTTTCAACTTTTCCCAGCTTAGCTTCTTAAATTCTTAACCTGAAGTACTTCCAAGTATTCCTCAGTTGATCCTCCTATTCTACTTGAAATCTCCGACATCTCGTGGGCCCCTGCAGGATGCCCCCCCCCCCAGTTATAAAAACCATTATAACCCCCATTAACTAACTATAGTTATATCTACCATAAACCATAGTTAAGCCACTTACAAGGCAACTGAACGCTATCTTGGGGGCCCCATCCTGTCGGCTTTTTTTATTTTCCATAATGGGATGTCAGCCTTCCCATTGACTTTCACTCCATCATTTTTCAAGATGGTTATTGCACCACCAGCAACCAGCTTGAAGTCTCCGAAATCTCCGAAATCTGAGGTCCTTACATAATAACCCCCATGAATACTATAGTTATATCTACCGTCAACCAGAGTTAATTCAGCCACTTTTTTCAGGCAACTGAACGCGAGCTCGACTGGCCCCATCCTGTGTTGATTGATGATAAAGAAAGGGGTGATACTGAGTTAAAACCACCAACCACCTTGAAATCTCCGAAATCTCCTAGTTGATCCTCCTATTTTCAATGGGAGATCTCCAGGATCCGATTGATTGGAGGTACTGTACCATATAAGGCCATATTTTGTGGGGATATTCCCTCAAAAATAGGCCTCAAAAATATATGGAATCGGTACCTCCGTCCTCAATCGGATCCTGAAATTCCCATTAACCCAGCTTTTTTCATCTCCTGAGTCTCCATGTACCCTCTGGTAAACTAACATAACTATGGAAAATCACCATTTATAGTGGATTTTCCCATGAAAAATGGTGATTTTCCATAGCTATGTTAGTTTACCAGAGGGTAACCTGAGGTCCTTACAGAAAGCCCATCCCTGGATCGGCAAGAACGGCGACGTCCTTCGCCAGGGCTCCACCGTCGCCGTTGCGGCGACGCATCTGCGCAAAGGCGCGGCGTGGAACTGGACCGCGCCGCTGCGGGGCTTGGTGCGGGCCTCGCCGGTGATTGAGCCTTGGCCATGGGAAACATCTGGGATTTTCCATGGTTTTTGGGGCAAATTTACCAGAGGGTAATAGTAATTAATATCTATCATATTCTATCATGAATTATATATATAAAATGATAGTTGGAGTTACTATCATACTTAGAGTTACTATCATAGTTATTACAATTAGTATCAATATGGCTGACCATATATATATATATACTATATATATATATACTATATATATATATACACATAATGATATATATATATACACATAATAAAATATATATATATATACATAATAATATATATATATAATAATAATATATATATATACTTGGTGGCTCATCCCACTTAGTAAGTGGGTGTTAACCCCAGTTATAAGTGGACTAACCCTACTTATCCCCTTTATAACTGGGGTTATAACCCACTTACTAAGTGGGATGAGCCACCAAGTATATAACATAATATAATATAAATATATATACATAATATATATATACATTTATATATACATATAATATAATAATACATATACTGTATATATACGTATAATACCAATTTTTATATCTCTATGATCATAGAACAATTTCATCATCAGTAATCCCATCCATCCCATCCCCCGTTCACACCAAACATCCCCTAAAAACGAAACCATGGTGGATGTAGGGAATATGCCATCGAATATGCCCAAAAAAATGGGACATCTTGGGACCATAGTCTATGGTTTTTTGTTATTGTAGGATGGGATTAGTGTGGGAATGCCAATCATAAACGACTTTCATTTATGATGATTGAGACCATGACTTGGGGATGACTTGGATATTTTGGGGATGGCAGCCATGGCAGCCATGGCAGCCATGGCAGCCATGGTTTATATGATAAAAAAAATAGCGGAGAAAACTTGTTGTCGCGATGGTATAGCCTGGAAGTCATGGTGAATGGAAGGGGGAATCATCCTAATTAGCCAAACTTTTTAGGCTGATTATCATAATTTAGCCCGGCGAATTATAACGACCGAACCCTGTTCTCCCGAGCCCTGGAATCATGGTTTATTTTAGGGGAATCATCCCAAAATGGCCTTATTTATCTTATTTCAGGTTGGTGTGACCCGATGGGATGGAGTATCATTTTTGAGGCTTGAACCTGACAACACTCAGTGGATACCCAACAAAAATGGGATAAATCAATATAAATCATATGCAAAAATCATACATGTCATGCACATTGTTTGGGCTTTCAACCACTATATACCCTCTGGTAAACGTTTACAAAAAGCTATGGAAAATCACTGGTTTTAATGGCTAATTCCACTAAAAAAATGTGGTATTTTCAATAGCTATGTTGACATAACCAGAGGGTCTTTGTATGCAACTGCAAGGCCCCAGTGTGTTCCATATCTTTTCCGTCGTACCTAGCAGGCCTGGCAGGACATGGGGAAGGCCAGGATGTTTTATACACATGGAAGTCACTAACTATTGGCCCAGGATGTAACAAAAAAGGTTTAACCTGGTGTATACACATGTAGATTCATGATATCTTTATCTTACCCATAGGATCCATGTATGCTATATATATGGTAACATTTACCATCAATATACCCCAAATGTTAGCATATATACCAGCACCATGGATCCTATGGGTTATGGTTAGACATTATTGATTACACAACCTGGTGTGGAAGCGCCGCCTGTGACGTCATCTATCGTCGCCAGCAAAAAACACCAAAGTCATTGCCACATCTCTGTGGCCGTTTGCCAAGCAAAATGGCTACATGTCCTACAAATACATGGCTATACTACTGATTGGTGGTTTCAAACATGGCTTTTATTTTCCATAATATATGGGATGCCATCCTTCCCATTGACGAACTCATATTTTTCAAGATGGTGAAAACCACCAGCCAGATACTAAAGGTTGGTAGACCAGAGAGCTAAAGGTTTTCATCTCCCAAGTCCAAAAATGCTCAGGACGCTGAAGGTTCAATTTATCTTTCCTCCATCAATGGAGTCATCTACAAGTTCAATCAGCACGGGAAAGAGCTCTGGCAAACTAACACAGGCAGGGGGCATGGATGGTCATGGCCCTCCTTGAAAGATGGCATAGTAATTCTGGGTCAAGATGACCATATGCTAGACCTGGGTCAGACGAAAACAGAAACTCTATGACTCCACTGGTTGGTGGTTTGGAACATGAATCTTATGACTTTCCATCTATTGGGAATGTCATCATCCCAACTGACTTTCACTCCATCATTTTTCAGAGGGCTAGGTGGCTCAACCACCAACCAGCTCCAAGTCTTGACCGAGATTTGCAACCTTTGTTGCTCCATCATTTGGCCAATCTGGGGTATGATGTGTTTTTTTTTGCTGCTCTAATACCAAATCACAGGTAACAGCAAAGCCAGACCCCAAAAGAGAAGCTTTCGTAGTGCCATTAGTGTCGTAGTTTTGAACCGGATCGAAATGACAAGTAGGGTTCAGTGCTGATTTATCCCAGCTGTCAATTCAGTTTTCCACATCAGTGAACCAACCTTGGTATCACAGAGAGACCATTGAGGCCTGCCCTATCTCCGTGGTACTTTCAATGTTCTTGACTACCCTCCGGTAAATTAACATAGCCATTGAACATGGCCATATTTATAGTGGATTTACCCATTAATAGCATGGTGATTTTCCATAGTTTTTTGATGTTTTTTGTATGTTGACCAGAGGGTAATATGTTTCAATGGTTGAAACTAAGAACCAGTTTCTCACTGTTTCAAGATGATTTCACAAATATTGAAGCCCCTTCCTTCCACCCATCCAGCTGACTCAATTGCAGTCACGCTGTCCTATGCATGGCAGTGCAACATGCCACATATTCTTAGAGTATTTGCAGATCGCTCCTTCATTTGAGAGGTAGCCACAGTATGGGTCAAAATCCTGTTATCCAGCTATTCACATCAACAAATGCTGCTGCTGATGTCATGATTTCATTATTCCATGATATTCCATGCTCATCCCCTCATGCAATCTCATGATATCTCATTCATCCAGCCGAAAAAAAATATGGGTTTTGCTATGGCGGATTGGACCCAGTTGGATCCCAACTTTGAAGACATCGCCATTGATGACGGTCACATGTGAAACCCCATTGCTATAGCCACCCAAAAATTCGAAATCCAGAGATTGGGGGTCGATTCCTGCTTGGTGGCGAACTACCCACGAATCGTAAGTGGGTTATAACTTTATAACCCCAGTTTTTTGAGTGGATTAACCCTACAAAAATCCCATGTAAATCACTGGGGTGAACTAACCCACTTACGATAAGTGGGATGAGCCACCAAGTGTACTTTTGGACGAACATCAGCCGTTGGGTTTTCTCGCTTTTTGTGGCCAGGCAGAGGCCTGCCGGGCAATCCCGTGTTATACGAAAATAGCTTATTCGCAGTACAGGATGACTGCACCTTTTTGGCATCTTGGTGGAATGGTTTTCAGCTGGATATTTCACCCAAACTCTTTTTTTTGTTAAAGAAACTAGGAACATAGGGATAAATAACTTCTATCTTTTGGGGGGTTACTATGACACATATCATATGTAAACATATGTACACATAGTGTGTTGAAAAGCGATTTTTCATTTTTTTCACAGAGATTTCAAGAATATGCCGTTGCTAAATCTTCAGAGTGTGAAGGATGGTCCAGAATGGTGTTTGTTTGAAACTACACAGCACTTTTCTTACTGGTGCTTAGCAGGGAATTTTCAGGAATGATCCATAATCACTAGTAATAATCATCCCATTCCCCCATTCCTATCCATTCCCTACTAAGCACCAGTAAGTTTTATACTCAGAATATCAGGATTAACGTCTCCCCTCCATCACGTTCCGTCCTGAGGTTGCATCTCGTTTGGTTGCTCTCCTCCTTGTGACCACTCGCGATTCCAACAAAAATCCATGGCAAACATGGTGATCACCTCCATAGGTTTTGGATATAAGCCCTATAAATATGGTTACATAATGTTACATATCCACATCATATACCCTCTGGTAATTTGTTACATAGCGAACTAGACAATCACCATGCTATTAATAGGTAAAGCATCTATTTCTATGGGCCATTTTCCATAGCGAACTGTTAGTTTACCAGGCCGGGTAAGTAGAACTGCATCCCCAACTCCAACCGCCTTATTTCCATTCGTTGCTCGCTTTGAATGGCAAGGCTTTGGATCCTTCGAATGGCAAGGAACGTTGGCGAGCGATGCTCGCTCTGAAGCCCAAGCAGGATTGATCATACATGTGTGTATGGATACTTGCTGGTTAATAATGGTTAATAATGGTTAATAATGGTTAATAGTGGTTAATAGTGGTTAATAGTGGTTAATCATGATAATCAATGATTAATATATCTCGTTGGTGGTTTGGAACATGAATCTTATGACTTTCCATTAATGTTGGGAATGGAATAATCATCCCAACTGACGATTCGTCATATTTTTTCAGAGGGGTAGGTCAACCACCAACCAGCTTGTATATGTATAGAATTGTATAGATATGTATGTCTATATCATCTATATCTATAATATATATATATATATACATATTTGTATATCTTTACAAATACAAACCACATTTGCCGGAGACTGTGTCGAGGCGTCCCGTATGCGATTTCACTCGGGCAGTTTTTCTCCTGGTCACCAGGTCACCATCCTCAGGGCTATAAGTAGTCATCCTGCAGTGGTATATATAGCACGTATGGAAATATTAATATACTACATATGATAATATAATGTAATATATATAATTACATATTAATTATAATATATATATATATTATTTAGATATATATATAGATACATTCATCTGGTAAAATATGGAAATGCCAAAGCCCACTGAAACTTTCAATCCATTTCTCTTGGCAAAGTCTTGGCATAAAACGTGACGTTTCTGGGTCAATCCGTGTTCTTGGATTTGCTGATGGGTTGTTATTTTTGCGGTAAAAAAAACAAGGTAACAAGTCCACCCACCATAAACTATTGGTGTAAACAACCCATAGTGGGTAAAAAAACTTCACAATACCACCCACACAATAGCTAGCATAAACAAGTCCCACTGCATTAAGTATTAGATTATGACTATTGGAGGAGTACCCCCCTAATTAATAAACCATGGTTGATTAATCCGGAGTTGACATGATTGTGTTTGTTGATGTTTTTTTGCCATCAGCGAATCCTAGTATTCTTGCTGTGGCTGAGGAAAGGTGGAGATGTCTTTGGCCCTGACACATGGTTGCATCGAACGCGGATATACCATCTGGCTATTTAACATAGCCATGGAAAATCACCATTTTTAATAGGTAAACCATCTATAAATGGGCCATTTTCCATGGCTATGTTAGTCATAACCAGATGGTACATCGACTTCACAATCAATGTTGGTTGCCCCAAATGTTCATCAAATATGGCAAGCTGTAAAATCCACGAAAAAAATGCAGGTTTCGAGCTTCAAAAAACATTCATATTTATATACCCTCTGGTAATGACTAACATAACTATGGAAAAACACCATGCTATTAATGGGAAAACTCACTATTTCTATGGCCATTTTCAATGATAATGGTGGATTTTCCATTGCCATGTTTGATCGGGCAGTAAGAATGTTCAAATCATCTCCAGTCAGTGAATGACGACTGTTGGAATGTCGACCAAATTTTCCCGCAGCAAGACCACTCAAGATCGTTTCTTGAATCCCTGGTAGGTCAGACCTACCAGGACCTACCACATTATGAACATCTCTTCCCCGTAGCATCAATTGCCCCCCAAGGTCCGAAAGGTTTATAGTATTGGATCTGTTCATTTTTTTGGGAGGGCACAGTTCTGGGTGATATTTTAGTACTTGGTGGCTCATCCCACGAATCGTAAGTGGGTTATAACCCCAGTTCTAAATGGGATTTTTGTAGGGTTAGTCCACTCAAAAAACTGGGGTGAACTAACCCACTTACGATTCGTGGGTAGTTCGCCACCAAGTAGGATCAGGGGATGAGATAAGTTCTGTGATGAGCACATCAATCCCATGGCACTCTTGGCAAAACATTCCCATATCAAATCCACCAAAAAATGTCAAGTTTGAAGGTGAAAATCCTACGCCTACGGTGGCGGAGATGAAGTTTCCATGCTATTTCCACTATTGTTCGTTCACCCTACAGGATGGTGCCCCCCAGTGATGTGAGCGTTGGTTTATAAACCCCATGAATACTATAGTTATATCTGCCATAAACCATAGTTATTGGAGTTATGTTCACCAACTTAGCTAACGAACTGGGGCACCACCTTGTAATTTCTTGTGGTTTTCAACCCTCATAGTTTCGGTACTTGAAATCATCCCATTGTGCGTAGGTTTGCTGCCAGCTGTTGCGTATTGATCCAATGCTTGTCCAAGCCGATAAGGGGCTGCACCACAACGCCCCTTCTGATATATGGAAGAAATATTTTTTTTTTTTCTCTGTGGCTCATTGCTGCGAGTGCTGCGGCCTATGCAATGCTGCTTGAATTCACGGTCCACGGCCTTAAGAGGCAAAATCCTGCCCTAAATGCTTGCTGTACATGGAGCAATGAAGGGACTGCCATCTGTCTATGTCAGAGGCCTCAGGTTCCGTGGCCGTTTCAACGCTAAGGTCATCCATGCCTCGGCGAAACGCAACAGCGAGTGCATGGCACATCGCTGGCGGATATTCTTTCAAAATTCCTGTCTTCCATGTACCGTCAGCGGCCAGACCAATGGATGCTCCTTTCGGTACTTCAGGCCGGAGGCGCGCCTCATTGAAAGCACAAGGAAGCCCAGGCATATTGATGGTCAGCAGGTCCGTAGGTTTTGCTGAAGGTGCTCCAAAAAGCCCTTGAGCAACACGATGCCGACGAACTCCGGGCGCCTGCAATAATGCCTGTACGATAGGCAATCGCCAAATGGCTGCCAAGTCGTCTGCGTCAGGTTCTGCAGGGTGCTCAATGACACCGAGACCTCCCGTTCGGGTCAAAACGCAAGCCAGCAAAATGGAGAACGTCAAAAGGAAATTGCCGATCATGACCTGATGTAGTTCCCGTAAAGCGAGGCAAGGTAGTCCCCATAGGAACTCCGCAGTGCGAAGGACTCGAGGGGCACGTCGAAGGTGTCCCGAAGGGTCATGTAGAGCTCGTCCACGGGCAACAGACCAGGTCTCGCAAGGGGGTCCTGCAAGAAAAGCGATGATATATCCTGCATGTGCAGCAGATAGCCAGTAGTCTCTGACCTGCTCATCTGATGCGTCGCCCCAATGTGCGTCTACCACGATGTCCATGCTGACGACGTGTAGAATATATCCCTCTGGCGGCACCATATGACCCAGAAAGAATTGGACGTCTCCTTGTCGTCTCCTTCCGGAGAAGAGATGCAAGAACACACGATGTTTGCCGAAACATCTAGGAATGTGCTCATGCCGCTCCCAATTCGTGACTGCAATGTCACAACATTCATTCTCCAAATCCTTGAGACTCTTCAGCTCCTTATCAAAGGACGCCTGCAAGTCCCAATGTGTCGGATCCAGTAAGCCATGCAAAAGCCCGATCACCTCGTCAAACTCCATCTCCCAAGCTGCAAAGTCGTTAGCCTCCACATTCTCAATGAAGTAGTTCACAGTCGCAGTCCAAATAGTCCACGAAATAGGTCTCGACTCCGCAATCTGCAGGATGGCCTGTACTGCCAGGTGTGGCGTTCGCGCATCGATGCAGGCCTCCATGATGGCTACATGCAAGTCGTTGTCCACTCCCTGATCTATTCTCCCCCGGGCGGGTGCAGGTAAGGGACCTTCGGCTTGTAGTGGCGGTAGCAGGCGATCATGCGCAACCTGTCTCGTCCTGTCCGCATCTGACCCGGCTCCTGGAACAATCACACAATGATAGATCCTGCTTTGAAGCGTCCTTCTGCATGAGGTGGAATAGTACAGGTGTGCATTCACCTTTTCCATGGTATGGTAGTGCTTAAGACATGCCGGACATGTTGGCGTATCTGTCAGCGACCGACGCGAAGCTGCGATACCATGTGCCTTGAACATGTGTGCTGCTTCTCCTGCTCTGCTTCGGCACCTTTTCCTGCATAGAAGGCATCCACGTACTTCAACTTCTGGAGCATCATCAGTTTGTTGGTGCGGTTGATACTGATAGAGCTCTCGGAAAATAGCAAGTGCTTGTTGATGGAAATGGACAAGGTGGCATTCATTTCGACGTTGAAGAATAGAATGTTCAAATGCACGACGAGTCAAACGTCTCCAATATGAGCGATGGTGAAGAATTAAATCCCGCCATTGATCCCAGTGAGCACCAGGCTCCCCGAGATGTGAACTGTGCTTGATTTGGCGCCACATCCAGCCAAAATCTTCTTCTATCACACTGGTCCATTGTCGATCTTGAGCAATCAGACCCCATTCAGAATGAGCTCCACAATGTAGAATCGTCGCCACATATCGTAGGCGCGCTCGGCGTAGGAGTTCACTAGGACTCGGCAACTGGACCCAAGAGAGGATCTCATTGTCCGTCAAATGCTGTTCCGGAGAGACTGGTAGTAAACGGCGGTACAGCTTGATCACTGCGGAATGGAAGCAGTTGACTGTCCGGTCATCTGTTGCAATCCAGGTCTCTGCTCCATAGAGCAGTTTGCTCAGTACCAGCGACTCCAAGAGCTGCGTCCTCTTCTTCAATGGCAACTTCCAGTTGCGAAAAAGAAGCTTTCTGTGCTGGGTGACTGTTCCATGGGCAATGCCGATACGGCGCCTGATTTCATCTCGTTGATCAGCCTTGTGATGAACAAGGCCTCCCAGATGTCTGTAGCGCGTTGTGAGTGCCACTTCGAAGGTGCCGTACTCGTTGATCACTGGCAAAGTTCCGCTCGCAGCGGGCCCGTACAAAAGCTTTTTGTATTTGCGAGATTCATGGCCCTGAAGGGAGAGTAGGATCTCTGTTTTGTTTTTCTTGAGATTTGGTGACATAGCGTGTTCAGTGCATAGTTCGAGAAGTCGACCTGTAGCCACGCCAACTTTACGAAGAAGGCTTGCTGGGCTGTCACTCTCCAGACATACCGCAAGGTCATCCATCCATGTTGGCCCCAAAAAGGGGATCATGGGCGTCTCTTCAGTAGGGACCTGGAAGACGGGTAGGCAATCGTACTGAGGAAAGTGGCTGATCATGTCCTGCCGCACCAAGAATTCTTGAAGCTGGCGCAACACGAGAGCCCACACGTAGCTGAAAATGATGTCAGCGAATGGATCTCCAGGACGTGATCCATGCGTGGTCTGGACGACGTCTTGTTGGTTCTGCATCCAGAAATGTGTCTGGGAGTGAACTGCACGGACACTGCGTTGTTCCCACGGCGACAGACCGGCTCGATCAAGCGCACACGGCTCTTGCAGTAGACGATGTAGAACATGTAGTGCATCGGCCGGCATGCGCAATCTGCTCATCAGTGTAGCCAAAGCCTCATCTGTAATTGCGCCGCCCATACATAAAGGCCTCAGGATGCGATAGAACGCTTCCTTGAGATCCAGCAGGATAAGCGCACTTGAGCGTTTTTGATGATGTGCCTGTCGAAGGTAAGCTCGGACAAGATGCACACCATAAGTTACCGGCATGGACCGACGCCCACCCAACTGCTGCATCTGTAGGAAGTTCTCAAAGATGTGCGCCTGAGATGATCTCATCGTCCGGTGTATGGCTTTGCCAATGTGGCTGGAGATCAACAATGATCTAAATGAGCTGCAGAGTGTCTTGTCACCGCTCCCTTTGTAGGCTTGTACTAAAAGTCCACCTTTGAACTGAAGTGCTTCATGTCCATGGAGCAGCAGCTTCCATAGGGCTGAGAAGTTGGCTCGTGCACAGTGCTTAGGTGTCAGGTGGCATAGTTCTCCTGGAACTCCATCCGGTCCTGTCGCCTTTCCATTGGCAACTTTGCGAAAGGCCAACTCCAGATCCGTCAGTGTAGGGAGCTGCGTCGCCTGTAGTTCAAAGTCGATCTGTTGCCCTTCTCTCAATGCTTGAAGCCAATCAGCGTGCAGCTCCAGGTAGGACTGGCGAAAGCCACCCTCCATATCCGCAAAGAAGGCAATCCATGTCTGTCTGGCCTCCCAAGGAGAATTGCAGAGTCTGCCTTGGGGGTTCTCAATCATTGGAAGAGTCTTCTGCTTCTGTTTGCGAGGATTGGTGGGCCCAGTGAATTCACACATGAGCCGCAGAATGTGAATTGCATCTGTGTGCTCA